GGAACGGCCGATGTGATCTAGACTCAATCAACACTCCTGGGTTTATAAATGGAGAAGCTCAAGTGGCAAGAGGTCTTAGGAAGCCACTCCTGCAGTTGTGTGTAAGGGACGAAGGGCTGGACTATTCTAAATGGTGAAGGCCTGTCTGCACCTGGGGAGAGAGAAGAGGTTTCTACTTGGGGGACAATATCAGGAAACCTGGCAAGACCCCATGACTAACTGAGTGAGGGGGAGGGGAGAGGGAAAAGAAGGGAGAAATCTGAGGTTTGGAGTCCAGAGGTAGGAAGAAGTCTGATGCTTTTAGTAGAAATGGGGGCAGCTCCTGACCTGAGGGTCCAGGACCACCTGCCTCTGCAGGGACAGGATGAAGATTTCTAGAGGACACTTTCCTGATGCCCATTCTCAGTCTGGGCTGGTTCAGACCCCTGCTGGCCCATATAGTGCCTTTGTGCCACTTCCTCAAAACACCTTGCTGAGTCCTATTGGCAGACAGGCATAATAGGTATTGTTGGAACAAGACGCTCGACTGCCCTCTGCTGGACAAGGAGAATTGTACGTATGCCATCTGTGCCAGCTGCTGCGGATGAGGTGTGCTCATCTGGACCAGGTGTGCTCCCACAGGGAGCACCTGCGCAGCTGTACAGGGAGGCCCTGCGCATAGATCTCACCTCCCTTCTTCCCAGGCTGGCCCTGTGCAGGATGGCACAGCATTAGGACCAAGTCAGACCTCGGGGACAATCAGCTGCTGAGAACCAGGCCTCCCTGACACCCAGGGGGAGGAGGCCAGGGGAGTCATAGGCCAGTGGGAAACATCATGGCTGTTGAAGGCCAGACCTGTCTCCAAACCTCAGCCTCAGGAAATGGTTCCCATGCGGGTGGGTGGACGCTCGGCACCTGCCAGGCCTTTGCCATCCAGGAGAGGGTGCTGTGTGGCCGCTGGAGCACAGAACAGGCCCTGTGAGGACCACAATCCTGGGACTGGCAAACGCCAGGAACCCGGCACACACTGGGCCTATGAGCCCTAAGTGTCTGACATTCTCAGCCCTGTATTTATGTATTTTTTTCTGATGACTGTTTCAGGCTCTGTATATTTCTTGGCTTTTCTATCTGTCCATCTCTGCCTCTTCTTTTCTATGCCTGGGTTTTTGCCAGTCCTTAGACAAGGCTGCCTCTCTCCATTTGTCTGTCTATATAACTCCTCAAAGACCTGCCTTTCTCAGTCTCACTCACCAAGCCTCCCAGAAATTCAAGCCTGCACATGTGCCAGCATTATCCTTAATTCCAAAACCAGATAAAGACACTACAAAGAAAGAAAATTATAGGTCAACATCCCTGACGAACATAGATGTAAAAATCCTCAACAAAATATTAGCAAATTGGATCCAGCAATACATTAAAAAGCTCATGCGCCATGATCAAATGGGATTTATTTCTGGCATGCAAGGTTGGTACAATATCCACAAATCAATTAACGTGATATACCCCGTACACAAGATGAAGGATGAAAACCACATGATCCTATCCATAGATGCAGAAAAAGCATTTGACAAAATCCATCACCCATTTATGGTAAAAAACTCTCAGCAGAGTGGGAATAGAGGGATCATACCTCAACATTAAAAAGGCCAAATATGACAAACCTACAGCCAGCATCATACTCTTTTAAAAAATATGTTTTTGTTGATTCTTAGAGAGAGAGGAAGGGAGAGGAATAGAGATAAAAAACATTGATAAGAGAGAAACATCAACAATCAGCTGCCTCCTGCACTCCCCCTTGTGGGGATTGATCACCCAATTCGGGCACATGCCCTGACTGGGAAAGGAACGGATGAACTCTTGGTTCATAGGTTGATGCTCGACCACTGAGCCACACCGGCTGGGCAGCCAACACCATACTCAACAGGCAAAAACTACAAGCATTTCCCTTAAGATCAGGAATAATGCAGGGATGTCCTCTCTCACCACTCTTTTTTTTTTTTCTTACCACTCTCATTCACGCCAGTACTGGAAGCCCTAGCCACAGCAATCAGAAGAGAAGAAAACATAAAAGGCATCCAAATTGGAAAGGAAGAATTAAAGCTGTCATTATTTGCAGATGACATGATACTGCATATAGAGAACACTAAAGAGTCCACCAAAAAACTACCAGAACCGATAAATGTGTTCAGTAAAGTAGCAGGATACAAAATAAATATTCAGAAACTGGTTGCATTTTTATACACCAGTAATGAACTATTAGAAAGGGCAACAAGGGAAACTAAGAAAGCAATCCCATTTACAATTTCATCAAAAAAATATACCTAAGAATAAATTTAACCAAGGAGGTAAGAGGTCTGTACTCAAAAAATTACAAGACATTGAAGAAGATACAAATAAATAGAAGCATATTCCGTGCTCATGGACTGGAAGAATGAACACCATTAAAATGCCCACACTACCCAAATCTATAGATTCAATGCAATTCTTATCAAAATACTAATGGCATATTTCATAGAACTATGAACAACTAATCCAAAAATTTATATGGAACCACATAAGACCCCAAGTAGCCACAGCTGATATCAAACTATACTACAAGGCCCTAGTAATCAAAATGGTCTGGTCCTGGCATAAAAACAGGCATAGAGATCAATGGAACAGAATAGAGAGCCCAGAAATCACCCCACATCTATGTGGTCAATTAATATGTGACAAAGGAGGAAAGAGCTTACAATGGGGTGAAGAGAGTCTACTCAATAAATGGTGTTGCCCGGTCGGGTGTGGCTCAGCGGTTAAGCATCGACCTAGGATCCAGGTGATCGGGGTTCGATTCCCGGTCAGGGCACATGCCCGGTTGAGGGCTTGATCAATGACTCTCTCCTCATTGATGTTTCTATCTCTCTCTCTCCCTCTCCTTTCCTCTCTCTGAAATCAATAAAGATATATTTAAAAATAAATAAATAAACAAATAAATAAATGGTGTTGGGAAAATTGGACAGGTACATGCAAAAAATGAAACTAGACCACCAACTCACACTATGCACAAGAATAAACTCAAAATGGATTAAAGACAACGTAACACTTGCAGTCATAAAACTCCTAGAAGAAAACATAAGCAATAAAATCTCTGACATCTCTCTTAGCAGTATTTTTGTTATATCTCCTCAGGGAAGGGAAACAAAAGAAAAATAAACAAATGAAACTACATCAAACTAAAATGTTTTCGCACAGCAAAGGAAACCATCAACAAAACAAAAAAACCTACAGAATGGGAGAACATATTTGCCAATGATACATCCGATAAGGGGTTAATATCCAAAATATATAAAGAACTCAGACAATTCAACCGCAGAAAAACAAACAATCCAATGAAAAAATGGGCAGAGGACCTGAACAGACACTTCTCCAAAGAGGACATACAGATGGCCAAGAGACATATGAAAAGATGCTCAACGTCGCTAATCATCAGAGACGCAAATTAAAACCACAATGAGGGCCCAGCCGGGCGTAGTTCAGCGGATGAGCATTGACCTAGGATCCAGGAGATTGAGGTTCGATTCCCGGTCAGGGCACAGGCCCGGGTTTCGCGCTCGATCCCCAGTGGGGGGCGTGCAGCAGGCAGCTGATCAATGACTCTCTCATCACTGATGTTTCTATCTCTCTCTCTCTCCCTTCCTCTCTCTGAAATCAATAAAGATATATTTAAAAAATAACTAACTAAATAAAAATAAAACCACAATGAGGTATCACTTCACACCTGTCAGAATGGCTCCATCAACAAATCAACAAACGACATGTGCTGGGAGGGTGTGGAGAAAGGGGAACCTAGTACACTGCTGGTGGGAATGCAAATTGGTGCAGCCACTATGGAAAATAGTATGGAGGTTCCTCAAAAAATTAAAAATGAAACTGCCTTATGACTCAGCAATTCCACTTCTGGATATATATACACACATACACACACATATATATATAAACACTAATCTGAAAGAATATATGCACCCTTATTTCACGGCAACACTATTTACAATAGTGAAGATCTGGAAGCAGCCCGAGTGCCCACCAATAGATGAGTGGATAAAAAGCTGTGGTGCTTACATACAATTAAATATTACTCAGCCATAAAAAAGAATGAATCTCACCATTTGCCACAGCATGGATGGACCTAGAGGGTAGTATGCCCAGTGAAATAAGTCAGACAGAGAAAGACAAACACCATATGATCTCACTTATATTGGAATCTAAAGAACAAAATAAATGAACAAACAAAATAGAAGCAGACTCATAGATACAGAGGACAGATGGCTGCCAGAGGAGAGGGGGCTGGGGGACTGGGTGAAAAAGGTGAAGGGGTTAAGAAGTACAAATTGGCACTTACAAATTAGCCTCAGGGATGTGAAGTACAGCCTAGGGAATGTAATCAATAGTATTGTAATAACTGAGTGTGGTGCCAGGTGGGTACTGCAAATGTCGGGGGGAACACTTTGTCAAGTATAAAATTGTCTAACCACTATGTTGCACACCTGAAATTAATGCAAGTACTAAAATAATATTGACTATAAACTGTAGCTGAAAAATAAATAAATAAATGAATGAATAAATGAATAAAGAAAGAAAGAAAGAAAAGAAAGAAAGAAAGAAAGGAAAGAAAGAAAGAAAGAAAGAAAGAAAGAAAGAAAGAAAGAAAGAAAGAAAGAAAGAAAGGAAAGAAAGAAAGAAAGAAAGAAAGAGAGAAAGAAAGAGAGAAAGAGAGAAAGAGAAAGAAAGAAATAGAAACAAGCCTGCAAAGGCTTCTTCCAGGCCCAGCCCTCAGGACATGCCTGGATTTGGGAGGGATCAGAAAGGAGTGACCAAGGTTCCCCCCACTCCTCCACCGGGCCCGCAATCCCGCCATAAGCTTTATCCCCCTGGGCTGAAGCCTTCAGAGGAGACAGTGCAGTCTGGCGACTAAGTACAGGGGCTCTGGACTCTCTTATACCTGAATCCTCAACCCTGGCTTGACCCCAAGCAAGTTAACTTTTCTGGGCCTTGGTTTCCTTCTTTTTTTTAAAGGCAATTTTTTTAGAGCAGTTTTAAGTTCACAGCAAAGTGGGAGGGAAGGTACAGAGAGTGCCCACATGCCCCTGCCTCCACCCGGGCAGCTTCCCCGTTATCAACACCCCACCCGGTGGAGGGCTCCTTAGGGCTGACGAGCCCACGTGGACGCATCACTTTCACCCAAGGCTCCGAGCTGACGTTACATGCTTGGCGGTGTACCTTCTGCGGGTTTGGAAAAGTGCGTGGTGGCGCGTAGCTGCCATTATAATATCATACAAAATAGTTGCACTGCCCTAAAAGCCCTCAGCCTGTTCATGCCTCTCTCCCCTCTAACTCCCGGCAACTGCTGATCTTTTTACTGTCTCCGTAGCTTTGCCGTTTCCAGAATGTCACAGAGTAGGTGTCATGCAGTCTGGGGCCTTTCAGGTGGCTTCTTTCACTTAGCAAGATGCACTTAATGTTCCTCCAGGTCTTTTCGTGGTTTGATAGCTCATTTCTTTTTATCACCGAATGATATTCTATTGGCTGAATGTATCAGAGTTTATCGCCTTATTTTTTTAAACTATTTTTGACTTTTTAAAAATTGATTTTAGAGAGGAAGGAGGGGGAGAGAGAGATGAGGAACATCGATCGGCTGCCTCCTGAACATGTCCAGATCAAACCCAAAACCTTTCGGTGCACTGGGCCACTCTCCACCCAATGAGCCACACCGGCCAGGGCTACTGCCTTATTTTAAAAAAATGGAGTTAACTATAGATATATTCACATACAGGCAAACTGCACACAGTTATTCAACTCATTTGCAGAGACTGACAACTGCAAGCAACCTAAACTTCCTCGGTAGAGGCCTGGCTGAGAGAATCGCGGCTCACCCACGCCCCAGGACACTATGCAGCTGAGCAAAGGGACGCTCATGTGCTGACCTCAGCGGCGTCCAGAACCAGGAGTTAGTCAACAAAGCCGAGTGCAGAGCAGTGCGTGTGAAGAGCAGTTTCACTGTTTATGCGAGACAAAGGGGAGCAGTAATAGATACAGTGTTAGCTGGTGAATGCAAAGGCCGCCTCTGGAAGGCCTCCCAAGAAGCCAAGGCTGCCTCCAGGAAGGGAACCTTGGGGACGACGGAGGGGGGGAGGGCATACACGACACCTTTGCATTGTATATATTTTATATATTGTTTGATTTTGGAATGTGTATAATCTATATTTCTAAAATAATAAAATTACTCTTTTTAAAAGATTAAAAAACCTGAAAATGCAGGGGACAATAAGAGCCCCTACATCACAGGGTTGCTATGGGACGATGCAGGGCCTGATCCATGGTGACCACCCAATCAGTAGGTGCTGTTATGGACAGCTGTAGCCATCTCTGGATGGAGACGTGACAGTGTAGACCCTTCCTACTCAAAGTGTGGCCTGTGGACCTGCAGAGTCAGCATCCCCGGGAAGCTGCTGGAAATGCAGAATCTCAGCCTGCTCCCCCTACTGAATCAGGGCCGCATTTTAACAAGACCCCCAGGGCCTGTGGGGGCTGGGAAGGGCCTGGACAGGGAGGCTGGGAGCCCAGATGGGCAGCTCTAACCCAAACTCTTCCACATCCACGTGCTCTCCAGCCCTGCCAAGCCTGGGTTCCTGGACTGAGAACCCGGGTCTGGCCCTCCTGCCCCCCCCCCATACTTGGGCCCACCTTCGTGAAGCCTAACAGCGGCCAGGGCGCCTCTCACCTTCATCCCGGCCACGTCGATGCGGATCCTCACCTGGAAGTGGGCGCCCACCTGGATGACCCTGGGCACACAGTAGAGCAGCATGTTGTTGAACTGCAGGAGACACAACACGAATGTGTGCAGTGGGTGTGTGTGCAGTGGCAAGGCAGGAAGACGGCCAGGAGGGCTTCCCTGAGGGGTCCCAGCGCCACTGGTCTCCTGCCCCTCTCACCACGCTCTGGGCCAGCTCCCAGGATGTCACAGGTTGTGAGAAGGGTCCTCTGGCCCCCAATCCAACTAGGATGTCACTGCAGGGTTGCCCTACCTGTGGGCATCCAGGGACCACAGCAGAGCTCAGAAACCTATGAGCCCCTTCTCATTCTCAGGGGCACAGGGGCTTATGAAGGTGTAGCTCTCTCCCCCTGACCACCAGACACAACCAGTTTCCACCAGGAGATTCTGGTGTCTTCACTGCAAACCCAGGCAGTTCTTCCTAGTAGCTAACCTAAATCCCTCCTACTGTGCACTCCTAGAGCACAAATAATACTACAGGCTTTGGAGCCAGACAGACTGCGGTCAAATGCTGTCGCTTCCCAGATTGTGTCTGGGTCACCCCTCAGCTGGAAATTCTGGGTCCTGGAGGCAGCACTGTCCAGAGTCAGCCAGTGCCAAAGTGAAGGACAGAGAACCTGGCTCTTCCCTGCTCCTCCTGCAGCGCCGGGTAAACCGGCAGGCAGGACCTGGGCAGTGTGGCCATGACTTTTCTCCCCAGGGTAGGCGGCCCCCAGCCTCTCCTACCAAGAAAAGATATCGCTCCACGGGGTCTCTGCGGCGGAAGGAAATCTTGAGGACGGGGCCCTCTCGGAGCAGGGTGTTGGAAGGATCCACGATGTCATCTTCAAGGCCCAGGCGCTGGTACACTTCCCACAGGTCCTGCAGCCGCTCCTGGGGACAGGAGTGCACACTAAGCCAAAGCTGGCAGGGACCACCACCTTCTGGAAGGTTTGCCTTGCGTAGACAGGAACAGGCTGCAAGGGGGTGGGGGCAGCAGTGGGACCGTGATGAGTGGATTCAGAGACCCGCATGGGCTGGGGAGGCTGAGAGTGGCAGGGAGGAGGTGACAGGGCCCCCAGGGGACTCCCCTGCTCTCTCCCTGAGGGCTGCTCACCATCTCCGTGATGGCTGCGTTGGAGTGTTGTGCAGCTGAGAAGATCAAATCAAGGGCTTCTGGGGGGAGCAGAGCCAGAGTTATCCCCTGAAAATCGGCTGTCGGCTGAGGCAGGAGGTCCTTGAGGCTTGACAGAACCGCCTCAGGGCCTGCCGTGAGCACCCCGGGAGCAGCCGTGCTCAGCAGCCCAGCATAAGAGATGTCTGGGTGACGGGGTACATTTCCCACCAGGGTAGAGAGACTGGAAGCCACCGAAACACAGAGCTTAGGTGGCTGCTTCTGTGTCCCTCAGTGCTCCCCAATCCAAGTCAGACCCAGAGGGCGGAAAGGCATGGGCTCTGGCCTCCCACAGGCATGGCTTCCAATCCCAACTCTGTTCCTTTCTGGCTGTGTGACATGGAGCAAGTCACTTAACCTCTCTGGGCCTTACTTAGTGTCCTTGTCTGTAAAAATTGGCTAATAGTATAGATAATGTCTACCAAGCACCAACGATCCAAGTTGAGGGTCGACGCTCATTATAACCAATTTAGCAGGTGCTCAGTAGATACATGGGAGCAGCCTCCGCCTCCCCCGCCCCCTGAGAGCCCCGAGGGCATCCTCACTCTGAGCATCAGCCCGGTCCGGGGCCTGGGCTGGCAGCTTCTGGACGTATTCCTTGAGCAGCAGCTCATAGCGTGGGATTCTCTGCACAGGTTCCAGCATGTGGTGCTGCAGGGTCAGGCTGCCCGAGGCCTCGCTGCTCTTGGGGACAGAAAAGGGGAGGAAGGGTGTGGGGTGAGAGTGGGAGGGTGGGGGAATTCAGGAAGCACTGAGCCTGGGAGGTGCCCCAAATCACTGGGGAAACCGAGCCACTGCACTTGGGGGTGGCAGCGCAGGCTCTACCCTGCCCCCGCCCCGAGCTCACCTGAATTCGAGTGAGAACCTCCTGGAAGAGGGGAGACTTGTCAGTCCAGGTGGCCAGCAGCTCAACGGCTCGCTCAAAGTTCTTGATGTACTCACTGTACATCTTCAGGAAGGGGGCCAGTTTCTGGATCACATCACCGATGCGAGGGGTGGCTGTCCTACAGGAGGGGTGCCCAGGTATGGCCCTCAGCCGGAGGACCTCCTCTCCATTCCAGGCAGGGGAGGGTTAGGCCAGGCCCCCTGAACCCCGCAAAACAGCCTTTCCAATGCACTTCTGGGTGCGGTCATGGGGGTGTGTCATCCCACACGTGTGTGAGGGTGGATGCTGTTCTCTCCCACGGACTGGGCTCCCCCAAAGGCCAGCACCGTGCTGAGCCTAGGACAGGCGTTCAGTAACCACTGGATACTTAAGCTTGTAATGATAATGAAGGCCACATGCCAAGACTGCTTGTCTCATCTCATTCAATTCTCCCAACCCTGCAGGGGGACAGTCCTTGGCCCATCTTAGAGAGGAGGAAATCGAGACTCAGAGGGGGAAGAACTCATCCAGGGTCACCCCGTGGAAGGGTCTGAAGGTCGTTCAGCCCAGGGACTGTTAGAGCAGAGCGATAGGGAGCTGGCCTGCCTGAGTTTACTCCCAGCTGCACCTCTTGCTCTAGCGGAGTGCCCATGGGCAAGTCAACTAGCCTCTCTATAGTTCAGTTTTCCCATCTGGAAAAGTGAAAATGATGGTAGGTGACCTCATAGGGTTGACCTTAAAAATACATATAAAATAAATAGAATATAACAATGAACTATATATTCATCATTGGATTTAACAATTACTAACATTCTTCTTTGCTGAGAATTTACATATATATATATATATATATACATATATACATATATATATATTTTATTGATTTTAGAGAGAGGAAGGGAGAGGGAGAGAGAGAGATAGAAACATCAGTGATGAGAGAGTCATCGACTGGCTGCGAGCCCACAACCTGGGCATGTGCCCTGACCGGGAATCGAACTGCGATCGCCTGGATCCTAGGTCGATGCTCAACTGCTCAGCCATGCCCGGCCGGGCTTTGCTGAGAATTTTAAAGGACATCCCAGGCATCGTGGCATTTCTTTGGCAAAATATATAAAGCAAGTAATTTTACCACCAAATACTTTAGTGGTCATTTCTGAAAACAAAGAGGGTTTCTTGCATAACCACCATGCCACCATCACACAGGGGCTGATGTGAAGATTAAATGAGTTAATAGATGTAAAGCCCAAGGCCAGGCGTGTAGGAAGCCCTCAGTTAGTACTGCCTCTTGAGTCACCCAGCCTCGGGAGGACCTGCTCCACGCCCTTCCCAGGACGTACACACAGCCTCCCTGGGCTGATTCCTCCCAGCCCCTCACTGTGCAGACACTGAGCCCAGAGCAGGAGACTGTGGTGGCCACATAGCAAGTGCGCTGGGGGCTGCCCCGTGACCTGCCCAGGGCTGTGGTCAGGGGACTCGGGGCTCCTTGTGGCATTACCAGTCATCCAGCCGCCTCTGTAGCTCTGGGAGGAAGAACTGCGCGTGGAACTGGTAGATGGAGGAGATGTTGGAGAAGATGAGCCTGACCACGTCCTCGGGGAAGGCCTTGCTGCTGCGGGCCTCCGCCAGCAACTCCTGGAAGAACACCTGCAGCCCGCCGCAGGGTCACTGGGCCTGTGGCAGAGAGGGCGCCACCACAGCAGCCAGGGGGACAAGCACAGCCCCGGGGCAAGCTCCCAGTTTACTGAACGCTTTCACCTCCCTAATCTCCCAACATCCTCGTAACAACCCCAGAAGACATAGGCAGGGAAGATTGTATTCTGGCCATGTTACAGACGGGCAAACCCCGGCCTAGAGACTCAGGGACTTGCCGAAGGCTGGCAGCTGATAATGTCAGAAACGGGCCACTCCGGGTCTGTCAGGGTCTCAGCCTTCGCCAGGCTAAAGATTCCTCTGCCCATGTGCAGTGGATGAAACCTCTTGCCTTGGGGCTCTTTAAGAAAGCATGGCCCTGGCCGGTTTGGCTCAGTGGTTAGAGCATCGGCCCGCGGACTGAAGGGTCCCGGGTTCGATTCCAGCCAAGGGCATGTACCTTGGTTGCAGGCTCGAGCCCCAGGCCCCGGTTGGTTGGGGTGCATGGGGGAGGCAACCAACCGATGTGTCTCTCTCACATCGATGTTTCTCTCTCTCCCTTCCCTCTCTCTGAAAAGCAATGGAAAAAATATCCTCTGGTAAGGAGAAAAAACAAAAGAAGGGAGTGTGAAGGGTGATAATGGTGAGATTGTTTGTGTTGGGGTGACAGATGAGGATGCTGTGTGGGGCCTGGAAGGACTGACTGGTGTGTACTTGGCTGAGCCGAGGCCCCAGGCACCAAGGTTGGAATGGGGAGTGGCTCTAACGGGCTGTTCCTGATTTCTGCCCCAAGTCCAGCCAGTGGGGTTCCTAGAATCAAATGCAGGGGTCCTAACTCCCAGCTCTGGTGAGGTGGGTTGGGAGGGAGAGCGGGGCTGGGTGACGACGCCCGGGTGGTGGGGCTCAGTTGGGGGTGTGCTAGCCACTGGCCTGGTCCAGCAGGTGGAGGCGGGCCACGTAGGCCTGCTCCGTCTCCAGCAGCTCCTGGACGATCCTCTTCTCAGGTTCCTGCAGAGGGTTTGGGGGGAGAAGAGGGACAGCTTTGGTCTCCCTTGATGGGAACCTGGTGCATAGTCTTCAAAGATGCCCCAGTGAAACGCACCTCCCGGCATTCATGCCCTCCCACAGTGCAGCTCGCCTGGCACGGGGGTCACTGTAACTGAGAGAATGGGGCAGAAATGAGGCTGTGCCAGGTCTGGGCCAAAGCCCCAATGCCCTAGAAGCTTCTGCCCATGCTCTCGTGGGAACCACCATATCTGAGGTCTGGTTGCCCTGGTGGAGAGGCCTTGTGGAGAGGAGAGGCCCTGAGACTCCCCGGGAGAGCCAGGGGCCCGGCAGTGCCACATCCTAGTGGAGCCTCTGACTCTCCCTGGCCAGGTACCAGGCTGGAGAGTTGACTTTTGGGGCATTCTGACCCCAGTCACCATCTGACTGCAGCCACATGACAGACCCTGTCATGAACTAAGTTGTGTCCCCCCCACATTTATGTGTCAAAGCCCTAACCCCTAACGTGACGTGTTTAGAGATAGGGCCTTTAAGGAAATAGTTAAGGTTAATTGAAGTCATAAGGGTGGGGCCTGAATCCACTGGTGTTTTGACAGGAAAAGGAAGGAACACCAGGAAAACAGTGCAGAGAGAAGGCCATGTGAGGACACGGCAAGAAGATAGGAGAGAAGCTTCACCAGAAGCCAACCCTGCCAGCATCTTGATCTTGGACTTCCAGCCTCTAGAACTCTGAGAAAGTAAATTTCTGTAGTTTAAGTCACCCAGGCTGTGGTATTTTGTTATATCAGCCCCAGCTGACTAGGACAAACCCTGAGTGAGACCAACAGAAAAACCATCCAATAGTATTCCAGTCAACCCACGGAATTGTAAGAAATGATAAGTTGTATTCAGCAAAGGCATTTTGGGGTGGTTTGTTATGTAGCAATTAATAATTAAAACATATTATTATGGTCATCATCTCCATTTCGCAAGTTAGGAAACTGAGATCCAAAGAGGTTCAAGTGACTTGCCCAAGGTCACACATTAGTAAGCAGAAGAGGTGGAGCATGACCCTGGCCGTCTGGCTCCAGGTCCAAGTGTTGCGCAGCCCAGCCTTTGGACTGTACAGATGAGGAAACTGAAACCCAGAGAAAGGAGGTGACCTTCCCAGGATCAGTCTAAGGGCAAGAATTAGCCCGGCCAGTGTGGCTCAGCAGTTGAGCATCGATCTAGGATCCAAGAGATGGCAGTTCGATTCCTGGTCAGGGCACATACCCGGGTTGTGGACTCAGTCCCCAGTCGGGGAGGGGGGCGTGCAGGAGGCAGCTGATCAATGACTCTCTCATCATTGATGTTTCTATCTCTCTCTCCCCCTCTCCCTTCCTCTCTCTGAAATCAATAAAGACATATTTAAAAAAATAAAAATAATAAGGGCAAGAATTAGCACTGGCCTCTATTCCTAGTTGGGATTGCTGCCTCCTTCAGTGGGTAAACTGAGGCCCCACCTGGGAAAGGTATCTGGTTTACAAGCTATGTGGCCTTGGATGAGTTCCTTAAGCTGTTGAGTTTGGCTTTCCTTGACTCATACATTGAGGGTTATGGGAAATAATACCAGCAGTTGGGTGCACTAGACAATCAAAAGCCTTTAACAGGGAGAATTATGTGTATATATATATACACACATATATATATACCCTTGCCTAAGGATATTTTTTCTATTGATTTTTAGAGAGAGCAGAAGGGAGGGAGTGGGAAAGAGAGAGAAACATCGATGTGAGAAAGACACATTCATTGGTTCCCTCCTACATGCGCCCTGACTGGGGCCCGGGATCGGACCTGCAACCCAGGTACGTGCCCTTGACTGGAATCGAACCCGTGACCCTTCAGTGCAGGCGGGCCGACGTTCTAACCATTGGGAACACCAGCCAGGGCGTAACTGGGAGAATTTAGCTTCCAGCTGGGGAAGTGCTGACACTGACTGTGAGAGAGTGTGTGGGGGGAGCTCAGTAGAGGGGACCCCCCCAGCTCCCACTTCTATCCCAACCCTCAGGCACCTGTGTCCCTGGCTCGGGGCAGGTGTCTGGTTGGCAAGATTTCCTCCAGGCCCCACTGGACAGCTTGTTCTTCAGGGAGCTCAGGTACCTCCTGCTGACCGTCCTGGGCCCAGACCCCAGGGCTTCCTCTACATCAGGCTTCTCCCATGGTCCTGTGGGTGGGGGAGACCTGCACCGAGGGCGGTGATGCTCAGCCTCCGGAGTATGGGCTCTGGGCACTGCTCCTGGCACCCTGAGAAGAGAGCACACCTGAGGGTTTCCTATCTGTAGAGTGGGAAGAACAGCACCTCCTTGGTGGGGGGTTGGGGGTGATTAATGCAAATCACAGGGATTCAGTAGCTCCCGAGTGCCTGTCCCTAGGGGGTGGTTCGCTAAGTAAAATATCCACTTCCCTCCCAACACTTCCTTGGAGGGAACTGGAGTCTTCAAAATGAGTCAGCATGAACTCCATAGTTCCTTGTTTAAAATGCAGAGAGGGGCCTCTTACCCAGCTGCGTGCAGGGGTAAGGCTAGGAGCTGACACAGCTCTCTTGCAACCATGTGCACACAAACCTAAGAGTTAGAAGTCAGTGTGCTGAAGGGCCTCCAGTTCAAGATGGCCACGTAAGAGGACCTTTCAGACCAAATCTACACAAAAAAATCTACACAACAAATCCATAGGTACACACAAAACAACTTCCTCCAAAAAAACTAAAAATTAGCTGCTGACACCTAGACTCTTTTGAATTAGGCAAATGAGAGAAGGTCCACATTAAAACAGGCAGGAGACTGGGACATAATCTCGCCAAACCCCTCACCTGTGGACCTCACACCTGGTTTTAGTCTCTGCAGCAGGAAGGGCCTTAGAACCCTAGTAACTGATACATTGAGAGAAGGTGGGAGCCATAGAACACTGTAAAGGAAGGGTAGGGCTGTTAAAGCTGGGGTTTTTCAGTGGGAGTTATGCCTCTAGCAGGGGGCAGGGGAGAAAGCCAGGCTGAGAGCAGTTCCCTTGTGCTCCCAGAGATGGGCCTTTGTAGGGCAGCTTTGTCACCCTACCTACTGGGTCTGCAGGCCAGTTAAATTCTTTAGATAACAGAGGCTGACCTCGCCGAATATATCCAACGATTTGGACTATATCCATTCCCTGTCTGTGAAAAGGCTTGCGACGACAGCACAGACAGGCATCCTTAGGAGAAAGACAGGCTGGGGAATGGACAACCAGCCAGGTACGAAATCTCCAGCATTCTGTGAGTTTTCCATTACCCCCACTTTTCAGCTAAGGAAACTGAGGTACAAAGAGGACAAGTTGCTTTCAGCCAGGGGCTGGCAGAGGTGGGATTCAGGTCAGGCAGCCTGGCTCCTGAGCCTTCGTCCCAAACTGCCCTTCCCCATTTGAGTCAAGGAAAAATAGGTCCAGAGAGTCAATGCAACCTGCTCCAAGCCACACAGCTGGTCCGTCGCAGAGAGAGGATCAGTTCCCAGCCCCCGATGGCCCTCTCAGGCTCTTCCATGGCTCTCTGGTGCCCCAGTGCCCGGTTCCTCAGCCTGGGGTCTGCAGCTCGTGGGAGTAGCCAGGCCTCTGCTTTCTGTTCTACATGTGGTTTCAGCTTCTGCATTTCTCTCCAAGTGCCCCCCGGCCAGCTTCTGTTTCCTCTTCGCCCCTCAGTTTCAGATTAGCGAAAGTGCTGGAGACCACACAAGAAAGCCCAGACCAAGGCCAAGACAGCTGGCATGGGTCAGCCTCACACAACAAGGGTGACGAGGCCTCCTCTGACCAAATTCTGGTTTGAGGCCTGCCTCGTCCTGCTAGGGGTGTTGTCGGGCAGAACACACGTGCTGAAGGTCTCCACCGGGCATGCCTGGAGGGCTGAGTGGGGCGATGCCATCTCCCCAGCCTGCTCAGAAGTGGAACTGCCCTCCAGGTCCACATCTATGCCACTTCTGCCAGGAAGCCCACAGGAGGCTTTGTCTGCCAGTGCTCTCAGCACAGTTCATGGGCCCCTCCTTCCCAGGATATCTATTGTCCATGAACTTAGCATCCAAAGACAAAAGTCTCTGGACAGGGATCATTCTTAGGCCCCCGTGTCTGCTAGTTCCTGGGCGCTGCTGTGCTGTGCCACCCGCAGCCCCTCAGGACGGAGGCACCCTTCCCCGCAGCTGCCGGCAGTGTGGGGACTGGCTGCCTCACCCAAGGTCAAGTCCATATCCAACGATTAGTCCATGTGGGTAAAAAGACCCAGCCCTTTGCCTCAGCAGAACAACCTGAGAGGCATCCCAGTTCAGCGCTCCCGAGACAGGCCGGACCCCTGTGCAGCTTCTCCCTGTGGGTAGCACTGTGCATCCCTCCAGAAATCCCCTCAGAGTCTATTTCCAGAGAACCCCCCTCAGACAGTCCCTAACACAGTCCCTAACATGCCTGCGGAGTGGATTAATGCCACACACACACACACACACACACACACACACACACGCCCCACTCCTGCCAGGGCCACCAGTGACCTCCACACATCTGACTCGGCCTTCCCCTTCAGAAGGAAGCCCTGGCATTGCCTTTTGCCCATGAACTTAAAGCCTCCCCGCCTCTCTTTGCCTCTATTTTCTCATCTATAAGATGAGAATAGAAATTGAACCTCCCCCGTTAGGCTGTTAGATGATTAATGAAGTACAAACGCACTTAGGACAGCGCCCCACAGGTAAGCTGACCGCACGTCCCGGTTTGCCTGACACAGTCCCAGCTTTTCCTATTGCCCCCCACCCCACCCCACCCAAATAATTTAATGGCATTCACATTCAGTGTCAAGTGTGTCGTGGATTGAGTGATAGAGTATATGGTTATCCCAGTCAGAAGGAGAAAGCGCTTGGTAAGCATTAGCTATAACTGCTGCTGGAGGGGCAATGGTGGAGTTCTGCAGCCCACTCTCACTCATAATTACACACGTCGGGACCCTCCCCAGCACCCCAACACACTCTCACCCCTGCCCAGCTCCTCAGTGTCCCAACATTCTCCTATGCTCTGAGGAACCCATCCCCAAGCGATGTGGGCACTGCCAGGTCAGGAGGGGGTGTCCAGGACGGGGCCCAGAGAGAGAACTGCTCACCGAGGGCTCCGTGGCCCTGGTCCTGCTGTTCAGGGTGGAGGGCCTGTGCTGCCCAGGGGCCCAAGGGTGGGTGGAGGAGCTGGAGGGAGGTTGCCAGTTGGCACAGTGACCCTTCCCACCCTCACCACCCCATACCTGCTGTTTTCAAACACAGTCACCAGATTGGACACAGATGCCAGCTCCTCCTTACTCTCCCCCTCCATCCTGCGGGCCTCCAGGATCCCCTGAGGCAGGGAGAGAGGCCTCCAGCCAGCACACTCGGCCACCCCCGCTGGGGTCACAGGTGGGTTAAGGCATCAGAAACCTGCTCCTGTCTCTCCTGCGGGCTCAGCAGGCCTGCTCCTGGCTTCACAGTGAGCAAGGAGGAAGCAGTCCCAGAGCCACAGCCCTGAAGGGGAAAGGCTGGTGCTCCCCGCAGAGGGAGGAGCTTGCTCGGCCCCACCCTCCCTCATGGGGGTGACCTTTTGCTCCAGTAGGCCCCCACTTCCAGAAGCTACACAGCAGGGGTCAAAGGCTCAGAGGTAGTTTCTGGGGCTGGCCCCTTGGCAGGACTCTTGGCCAGAGCATCTCTAGCCAACCACACTTTCTCTCTCACAAGGTTCAGAGGATTCTATGTGGTCCTCTTTCAACAGCTTCTTTTCTACACCTGACCCTGTTCACTGCTGTAAGAAAACAGCTTTAAAAAAAATTAATCACAAATAAGTCACAAGCCTATTAAGGGCTGGCAGGGAGAAGTGTGTGGTGTCCTCACCTCCCCACTGGGGCTCCCTCATTTTAATGGCTGCTGTCTCCACCTCATTGCCCCAGGGGAGGGCAGCTTCCGCCCTGAAACTCTGATGATAATAATCGCTAACACATACTCTTTTTAGTGTTTTACAAGTATTTTCTCATTTAATCCCATAACAGCTTATAAGTGGGGTCCTATTACTATTTCCATTTTACAGAAGAAAAAAAGTGAGGACCAGAGAGGTTAAGTAACTTGCCCAAAGTTACCCAGTAAGAACACAAAAGAAACCATGTTTCTAAAGCAAAGGCGAATGAATGTCCTACAGCTCTAGCGAAGCTCTGGTTGGGAGCCTGGATGAGCACGTTCTGACTGCTCCATCCTCAGGCTTCCCTGCTTCTAGCATGCTGGGGTTGTCTGCCTGAAGTCTCCTCTCCCACCTGGTCCCCCAGCCCTTCCGGAACAACGCTGTCTCTGCTCCCTTATTCAAGTCTCACAGGCTCTTCCGGGCCCTCCCACTAGGTTCTGGTCTGTCTCGTCCTGAGCCAGGCCCTCCACTGAGACCGGTCTTTGTCCTGCAGTGTAGGGACTTGGTACCCAAAGTGCCTGGCACAGCTTCAGGCTCCAGCGCCCGTGAGCCACTGGGGCCTCACACGCCAACAACTCACATCTCTCAGAGTTTCGCCTGAGCAACTTCTGCCAGCAGGTGCCTGGCTCCTCCCCAACCCTAAATTTGACTAATCCTCCTCAATTTTTGGTTTTACTTTTTATTACAGAACAATGTGACATAACCTACAAACCTATAACCCAGGCCCAGCAGCCTTCAACTCATGGCCAGTCCTGCTCCATGTGCAGCCACATTCACTCCCCCTCTCCCCAATCCCAGACATTAGATGACTTCAGCCCTAAATGTTTCTTGGGCCCCTGAAAGATAAGCACACACACACACACACATACACACACACACAGAATGGTGATGTATTCTATGTGTGCACACATGCACATGTTTTATATACATTATATACAGTCCACCCTTGAACAGTGCGAGTTTGAACCGCACTGGTCCACTTCTACACAGATATTTTCAATTGACCCTCGCAGCTCAAACCGGCATCGTGTACACGGAGGCCCAACTATTGACTGCGTGGGAGATCAACACCCGCACCCGCACGTTGTTCAAGGATCAACTGTACATGTGTATGTATATATATGAAACAATATCACCATTATCATCACTAGGAGATATTGAGTAATTGTTCCCCAATGTCATCAGATACCCAGTCAGCATTCAAAGAGCCAATTCCTCATAAATGTCATCCACTATGGACCCGATTGTGTCCCCCAAATTCACATATTTAAACCCTGATCCCCAATGTGGCTGGATTTGGAAATAGAGCCTTTGGGAGGTAATTAAGGTTAAATGAGGTCGTAAGAGTGGGGTTCAAATCTGATAAGACTGGTGGTCTTGTAAGAAGAGGAAGTGATCTCTCTCTCCACACCCCCTACTCCCCCATCCCCACCCCCACATGGCTCGGAGGAAGGACCATGTGAGGACAAGTGGCCGTGGACAAGCAGGAAGAGATCCCTCCCCATGAATGTAATCCTGCCAGACCTTGATCTGGACCTCACACCTCCAGAACTGTGAGAAATAAGTTCTGTTGTTTTTAACTTCCCCATCTGTGGCATTTTGTTATGGCAGCCGGAGCAGAGTAATTCATCATCATTTTCAAAAAGTCAGGATCCAGATAAGGCCCACACACCACAGTGCGCTATCCCACCTATTAGCTCGCCTTTCGCCCACGGGCTCACCTCTCTCCTTGTTCTCCTGCCCAGTACAGCAAGGGGACCCTGGGTCACTGGCCCTGCAGGTCCCTCAGTCAGGATGGTGACAGTGCCGGTCCCTGGATTTCCTGTTTGTGATGGTTAGATCTAGGGCTTGACCGGATTCATACTTAAATGCCACTTCCTCCTGGATGCCCTCCCAGGTCTTGGGGAGCCTCCTTCCCTGATATTCCTCTTCTCCCAACTGTAGTGCCCTGTTTCCTCTTCTGTACCCTGGCTCCCTGAAGGTGGGGCCAGACCACATGAGCATCCTGGCTGGTCCCCAGCCCAGCCCAGTGCCTGCACACAGTGTGCCTCAGAAGGCACGCAGAATGGACAAATGTCACACCTTGAGCCCAGAGGCTTATTGCATCTCGTAGCATCCAATCCTGAGCTTCCAGAGTAGAGTTGGCCTGAATAGCAGGGCCTGCCCCTCACAACGAGGCAGGAGAGTGGGTAGAGACCCCTGCAGGAGGCCACCCAATAGCTCAATTCTGAACACACCACGGGCACCCTCAAAGCTGCATCTGCCCAAGAAGGAGGGCCAAGATGCCCACATCCCCAAACAATCTTCCAGGGCTCTGTCCACCATGCCCCCACCTCCCTGACCTTGGCCCCTCAAGATTCTGCCAGCCTTTTTGCCTGATTTGCATCTCGCCTGCAGGCATCACTTGAGGCTCAGCCCTGACAGTCTCCTCCTTCACACACATCCTGCACCACCGAATTTAGAACCTGTCCCATGCCCCCTGGCTGGTTTTGCTCAGTGGTTAGAGCATCGACCCACAGCCAAGGGCATGTACTGCGGTTGCAGGCTCAATCCCCAGCCCTGGTTGGGGTGCGTGGGGGAGGCAACCAATCGATGTGTCTCTCTCACATTGATGTTTCTCTCTCTCGCTTTCTCTCTCCCCCTTCCACTCTCTGAAAAGCAATGGAAAAAATAGCCTTGGGTGGGAATTATAAAAAAAAAAAAGGAATCTATCCCAAAGTTCCTGTCCTTCTGCCCCAGCCAGATATGTCCAACACCTTCAGGACATGGCTAGGAACATGTTCCATCTTCACTTCCAACTCAACATGCAGTCTCTAAAACCAGCCCACGATCCCACGGAAGGATTCCCGAGTTCCTGGTCTGGCTCCAATCAACAATTCCAGTTCTTTCTTTCTTTTTTTGTTTTTTTAAATATACCTTTTATTGATTTCAGAGAGAGGAAAGGAGAGGGAGAGAGATAGAAACATCAATGATGAGAGTCATTGATTGGCTGCCTCCTGCACGTCCCCAACTGGGGATGGAGCCCACAACCCGGGCATGTGCCCTGACTGGGAATCGAACCCCGACTGCCTGGATCCTAAGTCTATGCTCAACTGCTGAGCCACGCCCGGCCGGGCCCAGCCATTTCTTCCTCACACACCGCCACCTGGGTTGTGACCTTAAGTGGTGGCTCTGTGCTGTGTCAGCTAAGCTAAACTGAACCACAGTTCCAGGCTCCCCTTTCCCACAAGTTGGCTGTGATTGCTGGAGAGGACACAGCAGCTGTGGTAGCTCCTGGGTGGGTGTGGGACTCCAGCACTGTTGCACCCACGCAGGTGGGTGCAGGCCTCGGGGCTCTCCACCCATCTCCTCTTTAGCTTGTCTAGCTCCTGGGCCAGGTGTGTGTTTAGCTCCAGGACAAAGGGTGCAACTTCTTCTGCAAGTCACCTGTGTCATCGAAGTTGGTGGCTTAGAAGTGTCTCCCTGTTCATCCTCCAGAGTCCCAGCTCTTCCTCACTGATTCAGTTCATTCTTGCTCCCCACATTTCACATCCATCTTCCCGACCCCACTACCTGCCCTGCTGACTGTACACTCAGAAGCATCCATTCTTTAAGCAGCTTCCCCACTGTATAAAGTCTTGTGCCACATTCTGTCTCACTCTGGTTGTTCTGTTTCTCTCATCAAATCTGACCTATGTGCCTTGGACCAGTAATTGAACTTCACTTTCCTCATCTGTGAAATGGGCATAATTACAGTGCCAACCTTCTATATGGTGTTGTGACGATTAAGTGGAATAGTAACATGTGTAAGGGTTTAGAGTAAGGCCTGGGACAGAGTAGGTGCTCAGTGAACGTTGGCTACAAACGGTTCTATTCCAGACAGAAGACCTTTCGTAAGGCTCCCTCCTGCCTTGACCAATCAGTTCTTTACCCTGTCAACAGCCTGTTCACCTTCTCCAGGAAGCCTTCCTTGATATCTACCACTGGAAATTCCTTCCTTCCTCAGAGACCTGGTGTTCCTCTCCACTTACTTTCATCTCTTCTGCCCCATTCACTAAGTCATAAATTCAGTTGAACACCTACTATGTGCTAGCACTATGGTAGAGGTTATGGATTAATCACAATCCCCTGCCCCCTGGGTCACAATGTAATGAGGAAGATGGGTCGGTTAACCACTAAAATACGATGTGGGAAATGCTTTGAACAGGGAGTTGTGAACACCCAAAGAAGGGGCATGGAAGTCTCCAGAGCACAGAGGGTGCTATTAAGGAAGGCTTCCTAGCAGAAGCAACCTGAAGGATGAAGGCGGAGTTAACTCTCCAGGTGGCCAAGGTAAGAAACTGCATTCAAAGCAGAAGGAACAGCATGTGCAAAGGGGTGTGGGCTTGAGGGACTAGGGCGAGACCAGAAGGAAGAGCACAGAGTCGGCACATCCACGTGTCCAGGGGCTGGGGAACGGTGGGACATGGGC